TTTTTTTTTTTTTATTTTTTTTTTTTTTTTTTTTTTTTTTTTTTTTGTATGTCTATTTATATATATATATATAATTTTTTTTAACGATTTTCTTATAGATTATAAAATGAAGAAATATATAATGTAACTATTACACACTTCTATTTTATAATATTTTATTACTTTATTTAGTGACAATATTTTTATAGTTTACTTATTAATCAGCATAACTCTATTACTTTTTTGTTCCTTTTTACTTATGTATATAACAGTTTAAATCAAAAATTTAGAAAATAAATTGTGAAAAATTTTATAAAAAAAATAGAAAATTAATAAAACATATTATAGAATAATTATATGTAATTTTTTGATTTTATATATAAGTATAATTTTTTTTACCTCAGAAAATTTTTCTTTTTCATCAGAGAAATATTTTTTACTAAATAACAATATAAATTTTATTTTTAGTTTTTTTTTTTTTCTTTTATAACTATGTTCAATTATGAAAGTATATTAATCAATGAAGATGTTATATCAGGTAAAATAAATACTATTAATAATTCATTTCAATGAATATTTTTTAATTCTAATTTTTAAAATTTTTCTATATAAAAATTTGGTTTTTCTATTGTAAATATATTAAAAGAAATGACAATAGAAGATGTTAAAAAGTTGAAACCATATTGGAATGTACAAATAGCTAATTTTAAAAAAGGGTAAAATACTTACAAATGTGAATAATTATTTTATAAGTTTTTTTATCTGATCATTCCTTAAAACTTCCAAATATGTGAAAATATACAATTGTAAATTTATGTATTATTTTAAATAGTGTACATATAAATATTTATTATTAATATTTATATTTATTTTTTTTCATAAGTTCAAATGAACCAGTTTTTACACTATTGCAAATGGCTATTTTGTTAAATAAAAAAATTATAGTGGGATATTTATTGGCTAGAAGAGGTATAGATATTAATGCATTGAGTAGAAATAATCAAACAGCTCTGATGATTGCCTGTGAAAAGAGAGTATGAAAAAAGCATATGTTATATATGTATAATAATTATAATTAAGAAAAATATGGGATACTTGATAATGTTATATAAAATGTAATATACTTTTTTTTTTTTTTTTTATTAAGGTACCACTTGATTGGATAGAAGCAATTTTAAAAAAAGGTGGAGATTTAGGCATTAATATAAAAGATGATTATGATGAGACAGCCTTAGATAAATGCATTTTTAATTCAAAAGGTATTAAAAAAAAATTAAAAAAAAAAAAAAATAATATCTTTATAATAAGATTTTCTCTTTTAATAAATGTCTTTTAATCAACATCATTTAATGATTTCTTATTTTAATAAAATTTTTTTTAAGCTTATCATTTACTTTTAAAATATGGAGCCATAGAAAATGTAAAAAAAAAAAAAAAAAAAAAATCAAATCAATAATTAATATGGAAAATAAAATTATAATAATTCATATTTTTTACTTTTCTTTTTTATTCTTACTGTAAAGAAAAATATTATGAAAATAAAAGCCCCTTTGGTATATTAAATATCTTAAGATTTGAAATAAATAAATAAACATATATATATATATATATATATTTCTTTTTTATAATAGACTAAGACATCGAAATATGCCGACAGTTTATGGCTTAATGTTTGTGGATGCGGGACTAGATATTATAAATAAATTTTTTCAAAATAATTTTTTTTTTATACTTTTAATAAATTAAATTATAATAAATATTATATATATATATACATATATATAATATAAACTTAGTTTTTATTAACATTATTTTTAAACGAACACAATTTCTTGAATATATTTTAGTGTAAATTTTATTCATATAACTTTCATTATTTTTTTTTTTTTTTTTTTTCCCTCAATTTTGTCTAAAAATTACTTATTTTTTTTTAATTTTTTACTTTAATTTTTTGATACTCATTTTTAATTAACGTGTTATTAATAAAATAAAACATAATATAAAGTACTTTTTTTATTTTATTTTTTTTTATTTATAAATATACAATTAATCACTTCTTATTATAGAAGTCTTAATGAATATAATTTTTTGTACACCGTTATGTGTAAACAATTATGTTGCTATACAATAATATTACTCTATAATTTTTCGTTTAATCTTTCTTATAATTTTTTTTAAAAATTAATTTTAGTAAATATATTAAAAAAAAAAAAATATATATATATATATAATTGTTACTGATGCAGCAACTTCAATTTACATTATGAATTTTATTAGAACTTTCATTGTAAGCAAATATTTTATTTTTTTTCTTTAAATTTATTTAAAATTACATTAAATAATGCACACAATTGAAAAAATAGTTAAACTTTTTGATACTATAAAATGAGATAATTAAATAAAAAAATGGGATAAAAATTAAAGGCTGCTTAAAATTTTTTTACTGTTCTTTGAATTTTTATGTAAAAAAAAAAAAAAAAAAAATGAAATAAAAAGAAAAAAAAAAGATATATGATAAACAATAGCTTATTTAAGAATAAAAAAGAAAGAAATATAAAAAAAAAAAATAAATAAATAATAAAACATTAAATTCACAAAAAATAGAAGCGAAAATATTTTATATATATATATATGCATTTATACATGTTATTTTTAAATATGTTAATAAAAAAAAAAAAATTTAATTAAATTTTGCCAGTAAGAAAAATATATTTCTTCTAGGTTAAAATAAATTTTATAAATAAAAAAATAGTTGAAAATTTAATATATTACTCATCCTATTTTTCTTTTATTTTTATTATATCTTTAATAAAACATCTTTTTAACAAGTTCAATATCAGCATACAATTTATGTATATATAGTTTTTTTTTTTTTTTTTTTTTTTCTTAACTGTAAAATATCAAATATGATATAATAATGGGCGCATTATTTCAGCCAATTAACCAAGTTAAGTTTACTAATGTTGCTATAGTTAAATACAAGCACAAGGGAAAGAAATTTGAAATTGCTTGCTATAAAAATAAAATTATTGATTGGAGGGATGGTTAAAATAATATATATTTAATATCTTTTTTTTTTTCAGAATTAATTTAAGTTTTTAAAATATTTTACCTTTTTTTTTTTTTTTTTTTTTTAAAGGAGTTGAGTTGAATATAGATGATGTTCTTCAATCCCATTTAATTTTTACTAATATATCAAAAGGAGAAATTGCCAAAAAGTCAGAATTAAATTCTTGTTTTAATTCTGATAACAATTATGAAATATGTAAAACTATCTTGGAAAAAGGTACAAAATATTATTTTTTTTTTTTTTAAATGTGTATATATATATATTTATATATATATATTTTCATCATATTGTTTATTTTCAAATATGATATATTTAATTAGGTACTTTACAAATAAGTAATAAAGAAAGAAATGTTTTAAAAGAAAAAGTTTACAAAGATATGATTGAAATTTTACATGAAATGAGTGTAAATCCGCAAACTGGTTATCCTCTTTCTACAAACATGATTGAAAGTAATAATTAATAAAAAAAAATACATACATATATATATATATATATATTGATTTAAATTATGATACTAAAATATTTTAAATTTATAACATTTTAGGTATGGTTAAAAATATTGGGTATAGTATAAATATTGATGATAGTGCAAAAAAACAAGCCCTAAAAGTTTTTGATATTTTAAGTAAAGAATATGATAATGTAATTCAAAGAGCTTTTATGAGAATACAAATTATTTGTGATGATTCTATAAAAAAGGATGTAATAGATTTTCTTAATAGTCATAATGTTATTATTGAAGAGCAAAAATTAACTAATAATATTAAGAGAGAAGATGATATAAAAAACAAACATGATCAAATATATAATTCTAGTAACACAGAAAAAAATAAAGAACAAGAAAATGATAAATATGAATATAGTGAAGAAAAATACAAAAAAGATATAATCGATTTAGAACAAAATGATCTTGTAGAAAATAACAAATTAGAAAATAAAAAAGATATAAATGATACGAATCAAACAATTACTGAGAAAAATAGCAAAGATGAATATAAAGAATATACAAGTGATACTATTCTTAATAGTTGTGATAATAAATACAAAGAGGAAAATGATTTAATGAAAAATAATAACTTTATAAACAATTTATCTAAAAATTATAAAAATATACATAACAAAGACACAATAGATAAAAATATAGTAAATGTGATAACAGAAAATGATACAACTGAAAGTGTAGAATGCAAATATTTATCAAAAAGTGATGTAAAAGAAAAAAATAACTTATTAGATGATAAATATTTAGAAGAAACAAAAAATATTCAAAATGATATATTTATTAAATCCAACGAAAATTTAATGAATGAATGTTTAAAGGATGATATAAAAAAAAAGCAGAAAAAAAAGGATAAATACGAAAAAGAAAAAATAGAAAAAAAAGGAAAGAATATTGAAACATATAAAATAGTATTTTTGTGTTATCCATGTGTATATAGATATATTGATGATTTTACAAAAAAACACAAAAAAAATTGCTCTAATAAAATTTTAAGTAACAATGTCAAAATTGCTTCACTAAATCCAAAAAAGACTAACTTAGAAAATTCTGAAACAAAATGTAATGATACTAAAAATAAAGAAGAAAATAAAAATAATAAAAATAAAAAAGAGAAAAAAAAAGGAAAAAATAAAAATAATAATAATTATGTTGATAGCGAAAATGAAAATAAAAATAAAGGGAAAATAATTGAAAATAATAATAATGGTAGTAATGTAGAAGATCATCCATCTCATAATTTAGGGAAAACATTAAGTGATGAAACAAATTCTTTAGATGTAATAATGTGTACAAGCTGTTTGGTAAAAATAGAAAAATGTAATTATAAACTTCATTGTAGAAGTGATTTTCATGTATACAATGTTAAAAGGAAATATAAAAAACTGCCACCTATTACACTTGAACAATATAAAGAAATAGATTTTGATGTTTCTCATTTTCATGTAGATATGTGAACTATTGTAATTTATTTTTAAAAAAAATTAATTTTTTTATTGTTGAAAAAATATTTTAAGGTTTAAAATAGTAATTTAATTTTATTTTTATATGATGTGCAAATTTTAATATTTTATTTTTTTTTTTTTCATTTTCTATATTTTTTATAAAAGTATTTTTTTTTTTTTTATAATAAATATTCATTAATATATAAATTAATTCATTTACATATTAATTTGCTTTTTTATATATCCTTGTGTTTGAATACATATTTGAAGCTTTATTTAAATATTTATATATGTAATTATTTATTAAATAAAAAAAAAAAAATTAAATTAATATTATTCATTATAATTTTATTTTATTATCATTTTTTTTAATTTTAATTTGTATAAGTATGGTGTACCCCCAAAATTTTTTTAGAGAAAAATAAAAATTTTTAAAAATAAAATAGTCACTTGTAATTCTTTTTTTTAATTATCTTTTAGAATTCATGTTTATGTATTTACTTATTTGCATTTTTATTTACTTATTTTTTTATTTTATTTTTATTTATTCATTTTCTTTTTTTTTTTTTTTTTTTTTTTTTTTTTNTTCGTTGTTTTTGTGTACTTTTGTATTTTTCATTTTGTCTTGAAATGATACAGAAGAGATTAGCTCCCTATTTTATATTAAGATATAACTTTATATATAAAAAAGAATAGAATGTATATAATTTTTGCTTTTTTTTATAATTTTATATTATTTTTCACGAAATGATAAATTTTACAATATATTTTAACACAAAACATGTGTAAACAATAGATCTACTTTTTTTTTTAATTTTATTTTTTTTAAAAAATTAATTAAAATTTTTAAAAATTTATTGTAGCAACACACATTTTATTTTTGTATCTTATTTATTATAATAAAAAAAAAAAAAAAAAAGGAATTATATTATGTACAAAATAGCTAAAGAAGGAAAAAAAGAAAAATCAAAATAGTAAAATGATCAAAATTTTTTTTTAAAAGATTTCAGAAAATTAAATTTTTTATTTGTAAAGAGTAAAATAAAAAAAAAAAAAATTCTAAATTACGTAAAATTCTAATTATAATTATAGATGAATAAAGTGTAAAACAAATTAGAATAATTATATAAAATGAAGAATGACATAATTTTACATATATTTTCTTTAAAAAATAAATCCACTTTTTCATATATACCTTATGAAATATCAAAAGTGAAATTGTTTATAACAAAAGCTTAAAAATCTCAATGAACAACAAATTCTTAATTATAAAAAATATTTTGTAATTTAACTTTATTCGTGTATGTATCATTAGAATATAATACATTTAAAACTTAATAAATTTTTACATATATTAGGTATTTTATTTTTTTTAAATTTTATTTTGTAAATTTTTTCATTTTTTAAATAAATTTATTTTTATAGTATATATATATATATATATATATATATATATTAATAGACAGATTTTTTCTATTATATTTTTTAGGAAAATATTTTTATGCATGCATATTAATGGAGATAAAATTAAATATAATATTTAATGACATTTTATTAATGCTTACCGATGATCATGTTTTAGAAAATCATGATAAAATCTTTGTTGATAAAACCCAAAATATATTATGTGTAGAATGTATAAGCAAAATATTTTTTAATAAATCTCCCTTATACAAAAAATATTTATTATTTAAAAGCATAAACGATATATATTCTATAAAAAGTTGCTATGATTTTCGCCACCATTTTTCTTTTTTTTTGTTAGATCATACTTTGTTTTTATCAGATTCCTTTAGCTTTTTAGAAGGAATATCAAAAATAAATGATGATTATGCATATTCTGTTAATAGTGAGTTAATTAAGTTAGCTACAAATGCATGCAAAGAATTTTTAAATGTTTGCACTGAGGATTTATATTATATCTTTAAAGACGCTATTTATACTTGTGTTCTCGTTAGATTAAAAAAATTTTCTAAAAATAAAAGAAAGTATTTTTTTATTTTTAAATTTTTAAAAAATTTAATAGATAATGTTGAAATTATACATTGTACATTAAAGGATGAACCTTCAATTATTGAAGAATTTATGAATATATTTATTCGTAATCATTCACATGAAAATAATTCAGGAAATGAAGAAAACTTTAACTCTCATGAAGAGAAAGAATATTTTGATGAGCAAAATGATAAAAACAATGAAATTTTATTAACTCTTCAAATTATTTATAAATTATGGTGTGAAAATTCTTTATGGCAAATTAATAAAGATTTATTAAAAAATTTTTTTATTAACCTAATTAAAAATTTTAAATTTATTAATAAGAAAACGGATTTATGTAGCTATTATATTGAATTCTTTTATATAATTACAAAGAGTTATAATGACATTAATTACTTTTTTAACACAATTATTTATGATATAAATAACACAAAAAAAATAGATAACAAAACAATAATATCTCCTTATGTATCTACTAATAAAAACAAAAATGATAAATTTACAACGTTGATTATGGAAAATGAGGCTACAGATAATAAATATAAAAATAAAATTAATGAAAATGAGGTTAGAAATAATGAATATAAAAATAAAATTAATGAAAATGAGGTTAGAAATAATGAATATAAAAATAAAATTAATGAAAATGAGGTTAGAGATAATGAATATAATAATAAAATTAATGAAAATGAATACAATAAAAATGAAAATAATGAAGTTAATGATATTACTGGAAAGAAATATATTTATCAGAGTAAAATTAAAGAAGAAAAAGGTAATGAATATAAAGTTAGTGAAAATGAATACAAAAATAAAAACTATAAGGAAGATATAGGAAAGTCTTATTTAGGAAATTACTGCCATGTAAAATATAACAGCAGTGAATTCAACGAAATTAACGATCAAATAATGTTAAATGGATCTAATTATGAAAATGAAATAAAATTAATGGAAAATGAGAATTACAATGATTTTATAAGAGAAAGAGATTCAAGCAAAATGCTAGAAATACCAGAAGAAAAAAATTTAATAAAATATAAAATGGACTTAAATAAAGAAGTAAGAGTCAACTTAGATGAAGAATATAGTAATTGTGAAAGTATAACATGTGAATCAAATTTTTTTAAAAGCGAAAATTACAATATTAAAGAAGAAAAAGAAAATATAAAATATGAAGAAAAAAAATTATATTATTGTAATCTAAATTTAAGTAATTGTAGCATTAATAGTAAGATTATTCTAAGTGACTTTGATAAAAATAATATATCTAAAGATAATTACGAAGAAATTTATAATAATTCATTAGATTTTTATAAAACAAGTGAACATTTAGATGAATCGATAATTTATGAGGGTAATAACAAAAAAATTCTAGAAAAAAATGAAAAAAGTGCAAAATTAATTACTTATAAATCTCCCAATATTAATAATTTAAATTATATGGAATCAAATAACCTAGATTCTATAGAAAAGAATAATATTAATTTAAGAATACTAGAAAAATCAGAAGATTTACAAATTTTTATAATTTTGTGTGATAATTTACAAGAAACATTATTAAACAATTTTAATAGTAACATACAAATGAAATGTCTAGATATTTTTTATAAGTTTTGTGATTTTGATGAACAAATTATAAACATTATAATATCAAATACTTCATTAGTTGAATGGATATTTGATTTTATATCAAATACTAAGTATGAAAATTTAAGAGAAAAAGCATTAAATTTCTTAATAACTTTTTTTTTTAACAATTCACTCTTTTCACATACACATGCTCATTATATGCTTGATGTTTTAATAAATGTAATTTTAAAATACGTAAATAAAAGTGATAACATATATAATGGAAGTAATAATTTTTCCTTTTTTTTTTATTTCTTAAAAGCTTTGAATATGCTTATCTCTATAACTTATTCATCTATAAGAATATTCCACATTTTTAAAATTATTAATATTATTACTTTTTTAGTAATATCACCCAATACTATTCCTACAGATATTAAAGATATTATTTTATTTTTTGAAAGCATTATAATAAAAAAAAGAGAAAAAAAAACGACTGAATATGAAAATTTGAAAGAAAACCAAATGTCTGATAAAAATTATCATAAAATTTATAAATCAGAAAATAATGAAATAGAGTTTTCTAAAAACAAAAAAAAGAAAATCATATTGGATAATTCTAATAATAAAAAACAAAACTATATTAATGATGTTATAAACACTAGTAATAAACATAAAAATGACAAAAATAATAATAATAATATCAATACTGATGAATATAATAATAACATTAGTTATGAAAATTTTAATTTAAATGATTTAATTAATAAAGTTTATGTTACTAATATTTTAGCATTGTTTAAAATATTAAAAATTTCTTTAAATATCATTAAAATTGTAAATACAAATAAGCAGGAAGTATATTTAGAATTAATTTATAATGAACAGAATGATTTTTTGAATGATCTAGCATTATCGATAATAAAATTACTTTTTGCTTTAATTTTTATTTTAAATAAAAATGAAGATTTATTAATTAATCTAAATGTTGTAAATGAAAAAGAAAATTCAGATAATGAAAACGAGTTTCAAATTTTAAATTTTATAAAATCAATCTTATATTTCCTTACAGAATTACACTATTTCTTTAGAATTTCTATGAAAGAAAATAATAATAATTTTGAAAAAGATATGATATATTTTATAAAGTTTCTTTACCTTTCTTGTATATTTATTTTTGATAATATAAATAAAAGAAAAAATTTGTTTAAAAATATAAGTTCTAATGTTTTTTTCTCATCATTTTTTAATCCTTTTTTTCATTTATTTTCCAATATTTTAAGTCATGTAGATTGCATTTCTCAGAGTTATATATTTCAATTAAAAAAAAATTCAAATAATGATATTGATATAGAACAGGAAGAATATAAAAAAACAGAAAAAGGGGGAAACAAAGACGAAAATGAAGAACAAGTTGAAGACGAAGACGAAGAAGAGGAGGAAAAAAAAAAAAAAGAAAAAAAGAAAAATCAAGAGGATGAAAATAATTTAATTATTGATAAATTTATAATATACAAAAAAAGAATGAGAGAAGTTTTAATAAAAAACAAGCCTTTTACTTTATTTTTTCAGTATGTTTCCCATAAAAATTATAGTAATGAAAAAAAGATATATATATATATATATATATAAATATTTAAATTAATAATATGTTATTTTATTTTTGTTCATTCTGTTTTTTTATATATTACTTCAATTTTCTTTCTTTAAGATTTTGAGTGTTATAGAATTTTAAATCTGTTAATTTATGAAGAGGATAAAATATTCAAAGAAAAAAAAAATCTGAAAGATATATTAATAGAAATAATAAAAAAAAATGATTTTTATTTTTCTAAAGTGTTGTTATTTAACTTTAATGATAATGAAGGAATAATTGAAACTGTAATATATATATTTTATCTTAGTTTAAATTATGATAAAGTTTTCATTGAGAAAAAATTAAGCAATAGTAAAACAGATAATTTTGTTGAAAATATATTTTTATCTAATGATTCCGAAATTAATATTAATCCTTTTTTTTTATTTATGTCTTTATCATATTCCTATTATTTTATTACAAAAGAAAAAATATTAATTGTTTTTAATTATATTAAAAAAGAAATGCACAAAATTAATTTACAATTGTGGTTAGATATAAAAAAAATAAAAAATATATATTTTGCTTTTGATTGCCTTTTTTCCATAAAGATTAATAGTAGTAATTATAATAACTTTTTTTCGTTTATTATTTATATAATGAAATTAGAATTATCTTTACATTCATCAAAACAAATGGAACAAATAGATAATAGATTATATTTATGCATCTCAAAAAATAAAGTTAGTTAAAATTATAGTAGAATTTTTTTTTTAATAGTTTATAATATAAAAAACTTAATAAAATATTATATAAATATATATATATACATATATATTTATTTATTTATTTATTTCTATAGGATTTAGTAAAAAATATTTTTGAAAATGTAGAAATGGATAAAATACAGAATAGTTATGTAATTTATGTTTATTATTTAATAATTAAATTAAGAAAATATACATTAGAATATTCAAAATCTTTAAGTTTATATAAAATGATGAGTACTATTATTAGATATATGAATACATTAGAAAATAAATCCGAAGAAATTAATGATATATTTTCCTTCTTTTTTATATTCTTTGAAAATTTAGAAGTTTATGCACAAACTGATATATTTAATATAATTACTCTGTTACAAAAATTATCTATTTATGTAAAAAATTCATTAAAAGAATATTTTAATAAACAAAGTAGTTTAATGAAAAAAATAGAATTACGTTACAATTTTCCTAAATTTGAAAATTCCTTTTTTTATTTTTTATTAAATCTAATTTTACACTGTAGAAGAAATTATCAAATTCAAAATATAAATGTTCTATCTTCTTCTATATCATTAATACGTCTTTTAATATATTCTATTCAATCAACTGATAATCATTTTAAGAGTTTATCATTATTAATATTATCATTACTTATATTACCTTTACATAATTCTACGAAAACTGTTTCACCCTTATTAGTTAAATTATCTACAACATTTGACAAAAATACAGAGGACATATTATCACAAGATGATAAATCTTTAATCAATCTTGAAAATAATAAAGAAAAATTTATAATTAGAAAAAATCTGTTTTATCCTTTAGTAAACAGTCAAGAAAATAATATTAGAGTTTCATCATTGTCCCTCTTATTAAGTTTATTATTAACAAACGTAATATTATATAATTTTTTATAAAATTTTACAACATTTTTATAATTAATTTTATAATTATTTTTTTATTTATTTATGTATTTTATTTTTTTATAGGATGTTATTTTACCTGATGAAGAAGCTTTCAGTTTTTTTATTTTTTTAATTAATAGTTCTTTTTTAAACGTTAAATTATAATTATATAATATATATATATTTTTATAATACTTTTACTTTTTTTATATAATTAACTTATTTTTATTTTATTTTTTTTTTTTTTTTTTTTTTTCTTAAAGGAATGGGATGATATACAAAATGATTTATTATTTGCAATAATAAATGTTTTATTATTGTCAACTATTTTGAATTTAAGAACAAAGTCATTCTGTTTTAATTACATTTATTCTTTTAGACCATTTTTTTTAAGGAATATATTACCTTTAAATAGAAATCATAAAATTATTATTCATAAACTCTTTTTCCTATTATTAGTAATATATATATATATTTTGTGATCATATAATAATGAATATTAAAAAATTTTATATATACTAATATACATTAAAACATATATATATATATTTTTTAATTTATATATTTTAATTTATCTATTTTAAAGACAGTTAAAATAAAACCATTATGGTTTGACTTAAAGAGCTATAGTGAAAAAGTAATTAAAATAAATTTATATATTCTTTGTTTTATAAAAATTTATATATATATTTTATATAAATATATATATAGATTTTGAAAATTCTACTTAATGTTGTAACAAAAAAAGATTTGGATATTATGACATTTAATTGTATTTCTTCTCTTTCTTATGAGGTTATTTAATCTATTAATAAGACATTAATTTAATTTTCATATAATAATTTTATTTGTTTCATTTAAAAAAAATTAATTTTTTTTTTTTATATTTTTTTCAGACATTTATTATAAATAAAGAAGATAATAATAATAATGGTATAAAATAAAATATAGAAATATATGAAAAAAAAATATATATATATATAAATTTCATTTTTATTATTATATTTAGCAAATAAGAATGTTATAGAGAATTTAGAAGAATATTTAGAAACTTATAAGAAAAATATAAAAAATACTGATGGAGACATTTGTTATACTAGTTTTAACAAAATTAAATGTACAAAAAAAAAAAAAAATAAATAAATAAATAAAATAAAATAAAATGAAATAAAATGAAATAAATATGTATTCTTTAAAATAAAAAATAAAATATGTATTTATTTTTACGAAATTAAAAGCATAATTTTTTTTATTTTTAGGCGAAAACATTGATTATGATGTTGTTATAACTATTTTAAATATAACAAAATTATTATTATATAAATAAAATTAACGACAAAAAAAAAAAAAAAAAAAAAAAAAAAAAAAGAAATAATTAAAAATAATAATATTTATTTAAAAAAAGAAGTATTGAATTATTTACATATTTTTATTATATTAAATATCTAATACCTTCATAATTCTTATTTTAAAAAAAACATAAGTAGACTTAGTTATCATTTATATTATTGTATATATCTACATTAAATTCATCACCACTTTCTTCAAATTTTCTTTTACAAGATATCACCTTTTTATAAATTATTATTAGAAAAAATAATAATATAAGATTAATTAACCTAAATAAAAAAAGACAAAAACATATAATAAAATATATAGAATCAGAAGAAAAAAAAAAAAAAAAAAAAATAATTTAGAAAAATAAAAAATTACAAATTTTTTTTAAAAAAATAATCTTACTGTACATATAATATGAAAGTATTTCCTATTTCTTCATCATCGTAATATAATGATCCGTAAAAAAGAATTAAAAAAAATTCAAAAAATCTAAAATTTATTAATAACTTACTAAGTCTTACAACTCTTTCATTTCCATAATTTCTGCATTAAAATAAAAAATTTAACATAAAAAAAAGATATAAAAAATTCATTCTATATATATATATATATATATATATATATTTTTTTTTTCTTATCACCTGTTCGTTGAATGCAATATTATGGATAAAGGAGAAACTAAAATTGCGGATATTCCGATAATAATATTTTTAAAAATGTGAGTATCAAAAGCAATACATACACATATAGTCAATATCTATATTAAAAAAAATAATTCAAAGAAAAAAAATATTTTATAAAATGAAAAAATAATAATTTATACTATTATATAAACTTTTTTATAATTCTATAAAAAACCTGAGAAAAGATAAAAACGAATATTTTAAATGGATTTACTTCATACGTTTCTATAATAAAGAGAAATGTAACAATTCTTATTTGAGAATCGATAAAATAATACAAAAATACAAAAACTGATATAAAAAAAAAAAAAAAAAAAAAAAAATTAAATAAAATATAAATATTTTTATGAATATATTATTTATGAAATGTTTCATTTTCTATCAAAAATATAAACTTCACTTAATTTATTGAAACAATATAATGTGAAGTTTAAACATTATTTTTTCTTATATATACACATATAAAATTATTTTTTATTTTATTTTTTTTACATAGATATTTTTTTGTTTTAGAATCTGATAATTTCATCAAAGGATAAGTTCTAAATGTATTCTGAATATTTAAAATCATAGAAATAATAAAAATTGCAGCTATACAAAAAGAACAAAACAATCCTCTTAAAAAATTTAATATTATTAAAGAATTATCATTATAAGTATAATCTTGTGTGCCTTGAAAAAATAAAAATATGTATATTAATAATATTATTAAATTAATAATATATAAATAATTTCCTATTTAATCAATAAATTTAAATAATATATATATGACTTTGAAAGTTTAAGCAAAATTTAGACATTATATATAACTTATTTATTAAAGTTTTATTTATATTACTTTTAATAAAAATACTGTCATATTGAAATATCACAATATCATAACATATATAAAGGAATGGTAAATGAGAAAGTGCAATTGACATATAATGATATTCCTGAATATCATCAGATAAAAATAACTTATTTAAATTTTGATAACACTAAAAAAAAAAAAAAAAAAAAAAAAAATTATAAATATTATTTATATTGTCAATGTATTTTAAATTGTATTTTTTTTTTTAAAATACTTGTGTATATAAATTAATTCCTAAAAATGTAAAAATTGAAAAAATGAATTTTTGATCATAGACATTTAGAATTGCTAAATACGACCATAAACATGTTTGTGTTAAAATAAATAGAAAAGATGTTACATTAAAAAAACTAATAAAAAAAAAATATATCAAAAAAAATATCAAAAAAAATATCAAAAAAAATATAATATAAAATATAATCTTTAATAAAATAAAATCTAATTACTTTTCTTTTTTACCATAAATAAAATTTTATAGCCAATAATAACGTAAATAAAAGACTTAATATATTAATTATAATAATCAGTATAATTATAAATTTGTTTATTTTATTGTGCTCCTTTTTTAAGTTAGTATCCAATGAGTTATCATTTTCTAAATTACTTTTTATAATAAACATTTTATATAAAAAAAATAAATTAAAAACAATTTAAAACACTTTAAAATATAGACCCTTACTAAAATATTAAAATATAAAATATAATAAAATATGTTAAAAATGAAATGAATAAAAAAATAAAGCTATTTTAATAGCTTATTTAAAGTAATACTAAAAGGAAAAAAATTAAATACCATTAATGCATTTAATAATAATACATTGTCTTATAACGATTGACTCTTGTTTAATTTTTTATTATTAGAATTTCTTACTTTAAAACGATTGTGAAAAAAAAAAAAAAATATATGGAATTTTTCAATATTCATATTTTGTAAATATTAAGAAATAAACATATTATTTTAGAATCCCACCAAAAAAAAAAAAAAAAAAATAATAAAATAAAATAAAAAAATAAAGATTTAAGATATTTATTATTAATGTAAAGAAAAAAAAAAAAAAAAAATAAAGGAAAAATATGATTATGTATAAAGATCTTTTAATCATCAAAAAAAAGTGAGTTGATCTATTATTTTTTTTGAAAATAAATAAATTTATAAAAATAGGTTATAAATTTTAATAGTGGTTAACAAAATAAATAAAATATAATAAAATAAAGATGTATATATTTCATAAAGGGAAAACTTCTAAATTATAAAAAAAAATACGTATATATGTATTTACATAAAATAATACAAATTTCATTATTCATTGATGATTTTGCATGAAATTTTTTTTTATGCATTCTTCACTTACACAGATAATAAAAATAAAGGATAATATGTAGCATATCATTTATGTTAATATTAAAATTAAAATTTTTTTTTATATTTCATATTATTTTTTTACAGTGTTTAGAATTTCAATTATTAATATGGAATATTATTATAAGGAATATTATTTTATATAATAAATAAAACACAAAGAGTATAAAAAATGACAAGTATATATAAGAAAAATAATTAATTTTTTTTATATTGTAAGTTATATTAAAAAGAAAATATTATTATTAAATCCAATTAATAAATATTATATTATTTTCATATTTTTTTTTTTTTTTTCCTTTAAATCTTTGGGAGTTAAACTTCAAAAATGTCATATAGCAAATAATATAATTAATTAAAAAATAAAGAAACTTTTTATTCAATAGAAGGTAAAGTATTTTTTATATTAAAAATATTACTCATATAAACAATACTATCTATATGAATTAAGTATTAAATATTGTGTAAAACTTTTATAAGATTTCCTAATAACACATTATGCAGGTAAGCTTTTTGTGATTGTAGAATATCATTTGATAATTAAATATCTATATTTTTAAAAGCAAAAAAAAAAAAAAAAGAGAAAAAAAGGAATTTTATAAAAGTTATTTTCATAAATAAAATATAAAATTTACAATAATTACGAATCTTACTATATTTGTTACTATCAGTTCTTGTTATTTTTATTTTTCTTTGTTTATAAAATTTTCACGAATTGATTTATTTTATTTTATTTTATTTTATTTTTTATATATATTAAATACAATTGTCATGGAGTAAATATTGTTTTTAAATTAAAATAAAAAATTTTAATATGATCAATTAAAATAAAATAAAAGAATATATCCATCATTCCTTTCAACATAAAATCAATGTTTTTTTTTTTTTTTTTTTTTTTTTTTTTATATTAATTACAAGTTTCCTTAAAATAACCAGTTAATTTATTTTAAAAATGGAGGATAAAATTAGAGTTATTCTGTTGTATTATTAAATAATTAAATTTGAGAATATTAAATAGGTAATAATATAATAATATCAATAAGGTAAAATAAGACAGAAAAATTAATATTTCTCTATTTTTTATTTCAATTTGTAAATATATGAAATAGTAAACAAAGCAAAAAAAAATGGTATCTTGAAAATAAAAATATAAGGAAAATTTAATTAAAATTTTCAATTTTTTTTTTTCTTTTTTTACATAAGTAATATACATATATAAAATATTTATGAAGAAATGGGAATTTATAATTTGATATCCATTTCAATTGTAATATTTTATACATCCATTTAGTAATAAATTATTAATAATTAATAATAATTTTAAATACAAAAGTTACAAATAAAAATTTACATTAAAGCATTTTTTCGAAAACATAAATATATATATTCTTTTTTTAATTTTTTATTCTAAAAATACAAAAAATGACAAAAATAGCTTTCTTCTAATACAAAAAAAGAAAAAAAAAAAAAAAAAAAAAAAAAAAAAATTAAATATTTAAAATATTTAAAAAAAAAATTAAAAAATAATAAAAGAATTTAAAAAAACGTTAAAATCCATGAGATAAAAAGAAAGGAAATTTTCATAAAATAAATATATATTAAAATTACACATAATATATGCATATATTTATTTATTTATTATTTTAATAAATATAACTTCTTATATATAATTTTAACATTCATGAACAACATATGTTGATAAAAAAATAGCTGTTGCAAGACTTATTATTAGAAAAACTGAACATAATATTTGAATTAGCAAATTATTTTTTAAAAAATATTTCAATTGGTTACGTTTTAATATAATTCCTATCAAAAATCCTAAAAGAAAAAAGTAAAAATATAAATATAAATATATATATATATATATATATATATATATATATATATATATAAAGATAAAATAATTTTTACCTCCAAGAAAACCAAAAAAGTGGCTATATATATTAATACTGACTGTATTTAGAGAAAATTTAAGAAATAAAAGTAAAAGAAAAAAACAAAATAAATGTACACTAATACTTATTTTATCTACATTAAAATTAGTCATCATTAAAATTTCTGAAAAAAACATTCCAATAATTCCTGATGAACTGCTACTACTTTCAGTCGTTGAATAACAATAAGTTAACGGAGAAGATAAAATTATTCCATATATTCCTATATAAAATAAATAAATAAATAAATAAATAAATAAATTGATATATATATATATATATATATATATATATATATATATATATATATATATATATATATATATATATATATATAGTAATATAATAAAATTTTTATTTTTATATAAATTCGTTTTTCTCTGTTTTAATTAATTTTCTTTTTTTTTTTTTAATTTTAACCTGTAAATACGTATATTAAAAATACAACAAATGTGCCATATAAATATTCTAATAAAAATCCAACAGTCAACTGAACATATGTATTTGCACAAATATGATTAAAGTTAGAATGTAAAAATAAGGATGTAAAAAGACGATAAACTTCTGCATTTTTAAATACATCATGAGGATAATTACTTCCAAAAATTTTTAGAGAATCATCTAAAAATAGAAAAAGAAAAAAAAATAATAATTAAAAAAAATATATATATATATATATATATATTTATTAATTTTAAAAATGTAAATATTAAAATATTTCTTAAAGGTTAATATTTTAATATTTTCTATAAATGATATATTTATATATATATATATATTTAAAAAATACTTGAAAGTGTTAGAGGAAGATCAGATTTTAAAGATATGAGTGAAATAAAAATTACCCACTGAATAAATGTAACATATAAAAGTAAACTGAATATTGAAAATTGAGGAAAGATTCTATAAATTATTTTTTTAATTTTACTATCTTCATGATAATCGATTAATAATTTTTCTTCTTCTAAATTATCTAAATCATAATTTTTATGAACAGTTTTATAAAAATGATCATTAAATCTCCCATTTTCCCAAATAGAATAGTTATGGTTTAAAAATATTATAATTTTTTCTTTTCTTTTTCTTAATATACTTTTTTTAGGAAAAAAGTAATATCTTCCTTTTCCTTGTAATGCAAGACGAAGTTTATTTTTATAAGATATACCTTTGGTTTCCTTAATAGTAGTTGAATAGTTATTTAAACGATTTTCATTCATATATTTTTTTTCTTTTTCATGATCAGATTCATTAATATATGTGTCCGTTTTATCACTACGAGGATAATTATTTACTGATGTATTTATTTTAGGTATATTTTCACTATTATATTTTTCGTTATATTTAATTTTTTCATCAATGTTTAAAATATAATTATTTAATGTTTCTTTAGTATCGTATCTTTCTTTTTTTTTTATGTTTGTTTTTTTTTTTTTTCCTTTTCTTTTGTTATATGATTTATTATTTTTAAAATAATATGTGTTTTGTTCATAATCATTTAAAAAATTTAAAAACTTCACATTATCTGTGCAAATGCTACTTTTATTTATAGCATGACTTTGTTTTTCATTTAAAGTAATAGATAAAAAACTTTTTCTTTTTGATTTTTCATAATTATTTTTTTTATGAATTTTGTAATTTACTTTTAATGAAATAGTTTCATTATGATCTGTCATTGGGTCTTCACATGAATTCTCCATTTTAAATTTTTTATCTTTGTTTATTTTTTTTTTTTTGAAACCTTCTTTTATAGCATTAACTTCCTTTTTTATATTATTGTTATTTTCATTATTAACATCATTTTTTTCTTCAAGTCGATAAAATTTTACAGTATTATTAATAATCTCTGAATTTAACAATTCATATTTTTTAAATTTTTCTTTATTTTCTTTTTCAAACAAATCCATATTTTCTCTTTTATTTATATTATCATTTTTTATTATACTCTTTACATTTATGTTTTCATTATTATCATAACTTAATTTTGTTTTTTCTTCTTCTAATAAATTTTTAAAACTATTTATTTTTTTTCTATTATCTAAAGTAAATGATAAACATCTTTTTTTTACTTCTTCAATATAATTCGTATTCTCATTTTTTTTATCATCTTCATCATCACCATCATCTTCTATCTTTTCTCTTCCATCACTTAATTTTAAAAATAATTTAACATTTTCCTCCGGTTTTTTTTCTACCATTATATATATATATATATAAATATATATATATATATATATATTTGTGTTTTTAAGAATTTTTATAACTAAAAATATTACATAAAAAAATCATTTAATAACAAGTACAAAATTTATTACCTTACTAAGGAAAAAAAGTAGAAATTAAATACAAAAAAAAGTGAAAAAATAAACAAAAAAAAAAAATAAATATATCAAATATAAAATTTATTCTTAAACTGTTAAAATATGTTTACGTTCTTGATTAATACTTCCCTTTTTACTTAATTTCTTATATAAAATTGTATATATATTTCTGACGTTATATTAAAACTTCAAATTTTGCGTTTTTTTTTTTTTTTTCTTTCTTTTTTTTTTTTAATTTAAAATTTAGTTTAAAATACTCATTAGTTAGGTAACACATTTAACTAAAGAGTAAGATATATTCCATTTAAAATAATAGAATTTATAAAATCATTTTCATTGAAAAAAAATTTTTTACAATCTTAACCGAAACAAATTCTTTGATACACTCAATAATGTTATTTGAAGAATAAAGAAATTATGCATAAAAAAAAAAAAAAAAAAAAAAAAAAAAAAAAAAAAAAACCTTAATATAAAATTTGCTTAAATTTTAATTATTATTTTAAGCATATAATTTTTATATCAAAAAAGAATTATTTAAATAAAAAGGGTATTATAATAATTCCACAAAATTTGTTAATTATAAATCCTTTAAAAATTATTTTTTTTTTTAAATATTATGTTTTTATATATGTATATTTTTTTATATTTTATTTACCTTATTTTTATATAATATTTTTTTTTTTTTTTTTTTTTATTTACTTTTTTTTTTTTT